ATGACTTATTCCTGTTGCAATAAGTTCCGTTTGCTCTTTCTAAAACTAAAACTACAGGTTGAGAGGGTGGGGAGGGGGTAGAGGTTGGGGTAGAGGTGCGAGTCCACGGCGTTTGGGAGCGAGGTCGGGCGTAACACCTACCCGTAGACCTACCTTGACACTGTCGCTCACGAGCTGGGACCTGGAGTGTTAGAGTGGAACTTGAACCTCGGGAGTGGGTGTTTGGCGGGTGCACTGTGGTATTCTCCCCCTTTCCTATCTAATACGAGCATGGATATGCGTAAAATTCTTCTTCTTATTATTATTATTATTACCATTAACACTAGTATTATTGTTATTATCGTTATTATCATTATCATTATCACCATCACCATTATCATTATCACCATCACCATTATAACTATTGTTATGATCATTATTTTTATTATTGCTATCATTATTATTTTTTCATTATCAGCATTTTTTAAATTATCATAAGAATATCCAACAAAACAGGAGCAGCAACCTAATTTTAAAAAACAGTTTTTATTATTTTTTTGTGAAGTAAAGAGACCGTTATTTAGCAAAATTGTTAATTTTGTTTCAAACTATTTATGTCTTAAATCAGTCATGTTATTGATAGTTTAGATTTCCTGAATATAGGCTCTTATGATAACACTGATAAGAAGGAATAATCCATTATAAGCTTTATGTTATTCAAACAATTAAATGACCAGAAAATAAATCATAAAGATGGTGGGTGATACGCAAGTGCTTTGGTGTGGTTTTCTCCTACTTCCCAATGAAATGTCTATCCCACTTATCTCAATTATCTGTCCCCCCAATGTACTTTGAATGTCACTCTCTAGGGACACCTTCAATCTTAGGCACTTAATTGTGCTGCAAGTGTCGTAAACCTCGTGCTGATACTAAATCCATAGAGATAATACTATTAATACTATTCATAAAGTCAAATAACCAGATTATAAACCATCTCTTCTGTTTTGATGACACTAGAAACCAACCAGGGGGTATTAACGAGGCGTTTGCAGACATGATAGGCGAAGTGGCAGAGCTATATGTGTTTGGAGAAGCAGATTGGCTGGTTGCTGGCGATCTATACGTGGCCGAAAATGAGGTTGGTCTACTTTGTGTGTTTCCGTGGGTGGATGGGGGGAGGGGGGCTTTGTGTGTGTGTGTGTGTGTGTGTGTGTGTGTGTGTGTGTGTGTGTGTGTGTGTGTGCGCGTATGTGTGTTATCTAAGTGTGTTGTCTGTGGGAGTGTGTTGTTTATGTGTATTTGTATGTGCAGGATACATGTGTGTGTTAGTTTGCATGTGTCTGTGTCTACGTGTCTATGTCTATGTGTATTTGTGCCTGTCTGTGTGGGTCAAAGGTCAAAATAACAAAGAAATAAGTGTTGTTTCTCGTTTAATTTTCTTTGTATACCTGTGTAACTTCTCACTCAAACCCCTTTCAGCCCCCTAATGTCTTGAAACATTAATTCATTTCTTAAGCGCAGTGTATTATGTTATCAGGTTTCCAGTATCTGATTTCGTGAAAAGTCCATAGGCCTA